AAAAAAAAAAAAAAATCCATGGTCCACCATTAAAATTAAAGATACTAACATCTTGCCATACAATGAATCTTTTTCCTTTTTATAAATGATAAAGTTGCACCTCTTTGTATTGATTCATCGTAGGAGCTCCTATTCAAAATGCATTCAAATACTGGGGATGGGAAAGAGGGAAAACAAAGTTTGGTGATTAAAGAACAAATTAATGCAAAAATAAATTACTGGGACTACATCAAAATAAAAAGCTTCTACACAGCAAAGGAAGCAATCAACAAAACTAAAAGACAACCTACTGAGTGTAAGATATTTGCAAATGACATATCTGATAAAGGCTTAGTAACCAAAATATATAAAGAACTTACACAACACTAAAAAAACCAAACAAAAACAAAAAAAACCCTCCCAAATAATCCAGTTAAAAATTGGGCAGAAGACATGAACAGACATTTCTCCAAAGAAGACATACACATGGCCAAGAGATAAAAGAAAAGATGCTCAACATCACTCACCATCAGGGAAAGACAAATCAAAACTACAGTAAGATATTACCTCACACCTGTCAGAATGGCTAAAATCAAGAACACAAACAACTGTTGGCGAGGATGTGGAGAAAAAGGAATCCTTGTGCACTGTTGGTGGGAATGCAAACTGGTGCAGCCACTGTGGAAAACTATGGAAGTTCCTCAAAAAATGAAAAACTGAACTAGCCTACAATCCAGTAATCGCATTAGTAGGTGTTACTCAAAGAATACAAAAACACTAATTCAAAAAGATATATGCACCGCTCTGCAGCATTGTTTACAATAGCCTAATTATGGAAACAGCCCAAGTGCCCATAAATAGGTGAATTGATACAGAAGAGGCGGTATATACATACAATGGAATATTATTCAGCCATTAAAACAAGGAAATCTTGCCATTTGCAACCACATGAATGGAGCTAGAGAGTATAATGCTAAGTGAAATAAGTCAGAGAAAGACAAATACCATATGATTTCACTCATATGTGGAATTTAAGAAATAAAACAAAGGGGAAAAAGAGAGACAAACCAAGAAACAGACTCTTTTTTAAGTTTTATTTTTTTAAAGATTTTTATTTATTTATTGAGAGAGAGAGAATGATAGAGAGCATGAGAGGGAGGAGGGTCAGAGGGAGAAGCAGACTCCCTGCTGAGCAGGTAACCCGATGCGGGACTCGATCCCGGGACTCCAGGATCATGACCTGAGCCGAAGGCAGTCGCTTAACCAACTGAGCCACCCAGGCGCCCCCAAGAAACAGACTCTTAACTATAGAGAACAAACTGATGGTCACCAGAGGGGAGGGGAGTGGGGGGACGGGTGAAATAGATTATAGGAATTAAAGAGTATGCTTCTCATGATGAGCACTGAGCAATGTACAGAATTGTTGTATCACTATATTGTACACCTGAAACTAATATAACACTGTATGTTAACTATATTGGAATTAAAATTTAAAAACTTAGTAAAATTTTTTAAAAATAATAAAAATAAAATGTATTTATTATAGTTTATGGGGAAAAAAGAACAAATTAATGAATTTCAAAGGAATTACTGAATTCTTTTGAATGCTTTCTCTCCAAGTAGAAGAGAAATTGTCATTTTTAAAACCAGATCATGTTAACAAAGTATAATCAATATTTCAATTGGCATTAAATTAGCTTGATGGCTGTAATATTGATATTTATGTTTTATTTTACTTTTTCTAATCATTAAGTATTTGTTTTAAACAGCAAGTGTACTCATTTTTGATTCACATATCCAATTCTCAATTACCAAAGACTTCTCAGTTTGTAATGTTCAAGACTAACATTATTTAAAGATATTATTTATTTATTTGTCAGAGAGAGAGAGAGCACAAGCAGGAGGGGGCGGCAGACAGAGAGAAAAGCAGGCAGAGGGAGGAGCAGGCTCCCCACTGAGCAAAGAGCCTGAAATGGGACTCAGATCCCAGGACTCTGGGATCATGACCTCAACCGAAGGCAGATGCTTAGCCAACTGAGCCATCCAGGTGTCCCTAAAATAATAATTTTTAGAAAATTAAAATTTCTTAGCTGTGAAAACATCTATGTATTGAAAAGCAGATAACCGTATTTCACGGAATCTAAAATGCCACTGATATAATTTAACTGTGTACCACTGAGAAGGAAAAAAACACTCAGTTAATGATACAACCTAGCATATCACTAACTTATTCCTGCATGCATAGCAAAGAAATATAAGCAAAATGAACTGGCTAACATATTCCTTTTAAATATACAGAAAAATCTTCTGAATCACTTTTCACTCAGTCATCAATGCATATGTTTCATGGTATCTCCCTAAATGCCACTAAGAGCTCTGGAGATACAAGTATTTCTTAAAACTATATTCTACCCCACTAGCATCACTCAGATTTCCTTGCAGATCACTGATACCCTTAAGTTAACTGCATGTGTTAATGCTGATAAAATCTGGACCTTATGAGAATGTACTGATCAAAGCTTTTCAGACAACAACCAGGATTTGTGAACCTTCCTTAAAATGTTCTTAAATCATATGTTGCTTAAAAAACCAAAGGAGCATAGCTAACCAGTCACGCCACAGGAATAATATCAAGACTATACAAATACACGCAATGACAGTACATTACAGCTTGTAATTACCTGGTCATCAGCAACTCTAAGATACCTTTGGATTCTAGTGATGTTAAAAATATGCATGTTGGAACTAATGAAATACAGTATTGGTGGTATTACACAACAGAGCTAAGGAACACATTCTATCACAACTAAGGGACCTCCTTCACTGCCTCGTAGGATAGTAATTATTCAGTGGGAATGTACCTAACTTGCAATCTACAACTTGCATCAAGACTTTGAAAATCATTAAAAACAGTTTGGGCAAGGAAGAAGGAAGGCTAAGAGCCTAACTTCACAATGGCCACTACGCTATGGAAAAGGGAAATTGTGTGTGCGCCTGCATACACGTGTAGGAAGGTTATGCCCACCTAAAGCTGTTCAAGTGAAGTAAGACAAAAACAATTCATTCTCTTAAAAAGACTCTAGGAATTGGTTCAATGAGCAAAAAGCATAAGGAATATCAACATTCTGGATAATTCCAATGAAACTTTTGTTTTTAGCCTAGAAGTTAATTCTGTCTTCTGGTAGGTTAACCAAATAAAACAATGGCACAGGGTCTGCCAAGATGATAAAAATAACTCACACCAAACAGTAAACTCCCTAAACAGGAATTGGAGACACCAAGCAACAATGTTTTAAGTCAGTCTGACAGAGGAAGAGAGCAACAAGAAGGGGGAGAATAGGTGACTACAAGAACGAGGTACTAACAAATTCAAAATCAATTTTGGTACTAGTCTCAGCCACCTCAAGTATTTTAAATCCATCTCTATACCCTACCTGACTAGTTTGATTTCACTGGCAGTTCTGAGTTATCTATTAACTTGTATTCTCCTTTTGACCGTTACCATCACCTCCACTCAGCCATTAATTACCTGGTTATTGAGAACAGGATATAATTACAATTTTCTAAAATATAAATGTGTAGCTTTAACACATTTCTAACAATTTTCCATATCTAAAACAAAAATAAATGTAAGTTCATTTGACGGGACCTCTGGAGCAAAGCTAAAAACTTTCTTTAAAAAGGCTGCTGGAAGAGCCAGTAAAAGATAATCTGTCAGTCTGAACCTAACGTTCCAATAAAAGATATACTCAAAACCCTTTCAGTGATGACATCCTACCTGACTTGTAATTGGGACAAAAGTTGACAGCATTAATTCCTTTAACATTTCCCCCCGAAATTTTCTAACTACTACTACTACCACTACTGTAATACTGTCAACATAGATTTACTTTTTTACTGTACATTATAAAAATTTTCAAGCATAGACATAAGTAGAGGAAATTACCCACCAGCCAACTTCAGTAATTATCAACATGTTACCAATCTTGCTTCATTTGCCTCTGGCTCCACCCCCAGCCCACCGAAAAATACACACCCCACACATATACACATTTATTCTAGACAATGCCATTTGACCCATACTTTTATACACAGCTTTAATAACACCTTTCAAAAACAAAAAACCCAATATCACCTTATAAAATTAACCATAATTCTTAAAAATTACCTAGTATCCAGTCTATATTCAAATTTCCCAACTGCCTCAAATGTATTATTGAAAATTTTCAAACATATAAAAAAAGATGGGGTGCCTGGGTGGCTCAGTCGGTTGAGCATCTGACTTTGCCTCAGGTCATGATCCCAGAATCCTGGGATCGGCCCCACACCGGGCTCCCTGCTCAGCGGGGAGTCTGCTTCTCCCTCTGCCCCTCACCCTGCTCGCCCACTCTGTCTCTCAAATAAATAAAATCTTAAAAAAAAAAAAAAACATATAAAAAAAGAGGAAGAAGGTATAATGAACTCCCATATACCCATCACCCAATTCAATATATATTTGCTCATAAACAGTCTTTACCTATTCAACCCTCAGGTTGAAACCAGAGAAAGTACTCTAATTTCTTCTCTCTCAAAAGGACTGAAAGAGTGACAAATTCAGAGGTATCCATAGAGGGGTCAGCCTGACGTCAGCTGAATTCTTCATCAACTTTACAAGTAATACTCCCCACTGTCAACCCACTTCTATGACAACCCTCCCCAACCTTATGGCTTCACAGATTTACAGAAATTTCTCAAAATCTGGTTAAAAAGAAATATAATTCAGCCCCTCAAAATCATTCTAAGCAAAGAGGGTCTTTTTTTTCTTTCCCTCTCCTCTGTCCTTAAAAACATGAAATTTTCTTATCTTGCCATCAGTTGGTACACTGGCAGCCCTGGGAGCCAAAGACGGGGAAAGGGAGATACTCTCAGATGGTTTCACTTGTATCTGTCCATGCTGCACATGTCATTCTGCAAGTCCTGCTATGAGCTGCTTACTGCTGTCCTTGTATTAAGGGATCTGGAAAATCGATGCATGAAGGCATCTCCTAAAACTCATCCTGACATGGGTAAAACAGCACAGAAACTGCTTTCATCACTATTTGACCCTTAAGAATCCAGGGACACATTGCTATTATCAAGGTAATGCCATTTCTCATTCAGCTTTCTCTTTGTACATGCAGTATCATCGTTCCATAATGACTGGTTACTGCAGTAAGGTCTACACAGAGGGACTGGTTCCAGGACACAAATTCAAATATATTCACAGTTCTCATGGGAAATTCCATGACTGTGTCAAGCTTATTCCTCGAGGATTTGCTGTGCAATAAACTAGGATCATGGGCAAGGATTGCGTGTCAAACTTCTTTGTGACCTGTCAATGTTTCTTACAACTGCAACAAAGTCCCTGAGGATCTCCATGGTGGTGAGGAGCTCAATATATTAATTTCCAAAAGGTCACTGGAGGTCCAAAAGGTCTTCTGAGGCTGCAGTACATTCATATGATGTTCGTAAACCTGCTTCATGCTAGTAAAGGCTCCATATTTCATTATCCCAATCAGTAGCAATTGTGGATCAAGAGGTGGTTTAAGGAGTTTTCTATCAGTTGCACCAGCAGCTGTTCCACAGAAGGTCACAGAGCCAAAAAGCCTCTTTGGGAAAGGCTGGTGTTTGATCTCTGGGACAACCCTATCAGGTCAGGAAAGCACCACCCTGCCCCACCCCGCTTTGTTTTTGAAATCCGTCTTTACCTTTGTCCTAAGGCTCTATTTCTTCACCTCCTTCACAGAGCCCCTGGAGCCACTGCAGGCCCCTGGCTCTAGAGGAGAGGGCCAGACTCATTACACAGTAACTGGTATGTTCACAAACAGCCTGATGTAAGTACTGAAGGGTTAGTTGGTGCTTTGGGAAAGAAACCAACAGTGACTGAGTAACAATCTACCAGAGAAAGTACTCTAATTTCTCCTCTCTCAAAAGGATTGAAAGAGTGACAAATTCAGAGGTATCCATAGATAGATCTCATGGATGAAGATATCATCCCAAAGCATAACACTGCTCCATTTGGAGTATTTTGTGGAACTGTAACCACCATATTTTCTGCAGCAATGCCACAGTTTAGGTAGAACCTCACACATCTCAGATAGCCCCCATCATTGGCACAGTCACTTGATACTGAACAGGTCTTCAAGGCAGGTCTAGATACCAAGATCTTCACGGTTAAATTTTTCAGGGGTGGTGAGAGAGAGAAACAGGAAAAGCCAAGGTCAGAGAAATTTTAACATGTCTCAGACAAAGAAAACTGGGTATGAACAGTCATGGAAAGTGTGCACAGAGGCATTCCACAATCTGTGATTTTCCCAGGATTCCTTTGTCACACATGTGGCCACCCATTGGCATTGGGTGGCCTTTAGTTCCAAGGAAAATTGCCTCTTTCCTTGGTTCAGATCTTTGTATGATCTATCCAGATAAAAGACAGCTCCTAAGAATCTACTGTTGTTCATTGCCAGAAACCTGAGAAGCAAAATGTCCCACCTGGGTCTTGAACAAGCATGGGGCCATGTAAGCATTCCTCCTGACCACATCTACTCCGCCTCTGCAACTTCCCCGTTCATCCCCAAAGGACTATCTCAAATGATTTCAGCCCCACAGACATCTTTCAAAAAGAGGCAGCAACCATGCAGTATTGCTCAAGCTCTTTAAAATTCATGAAATAGGTACTTCTCAGGTCTCTAAATCCACAGGCTACGAAGATACAAAACAGGACTCCTGACAATCAAGTCAGATCTTTGACTACAAGTGTTGGCTTTGGCCATGGGCCGTCTTCACTTTGGGGGGGCTCAATGACAATCATCTGGCTCTGGTAGAGCCCAGAGTCCTAGACCATGTTGTCTGGCCTGCTCAGCTATTCATCAGTGTTGCTCATATACTTTTTCCAGAGCCAAGCCTTGTGCTCAGCAGGGATGCTAAACAGTTCCCCCATCTCCTTCTCTGTAGTCTCTGTTGTTAAAATGGCAACTTAGCATCCTCATGAAATCACTGTTCTCAAAGCACGTCCTGGGTTAAATGCACCTCCACTTTGCAGTGCTTGACAAACAGGCCATGCTCTCCTACTTTTCTGATTATGGCTTTGCTGGCCTTCTACACAGCTGCACTTATTTATTGACTTATTCCAAGCCTCAGTGGAGACAGATATACAATCCAGTTCAACAATTAAGTGTTATTTTAAGATGTGACTAACAAGAGAGTCCAGAGTTATCTATCAGGCCGGAAACTGTACCCATTGTGCGCACGGGTGTGCGTGCGTGCATGTATCCCAAGTGCTGAAGCCCATATATTGTTTCACTGCTTAAACAATGGGTTGTCAAATACCGTTGCATCTACCCCCCAGTTGTGCACATCAAGGCCCAAACTTGGAATCGTTGATCTCCATGTCCAGTCGTTCTCAGCAGCCTCTGCCTTTTACCATCTCATCCATGGAGAAGGCCCAGCTAATTTAGAAACTACCACAACATGCTGCCCTATATATGCAAGTCATGACCTGTTATTATGCACTTGATATGATCCTAAGAGTCTTTCACAGCGCCCCTGCTTCCCGGCACAAGATGGTCCAGGCTCACCTTTTCCATCTCCCCCAGACCTGGAATCAGCCATTTCTCCAAGGAGTCATGAATCCCTCTAGTGGAAAACAGTATTTAACCTGGATAGTAAGAATACTCATTGGTACGGAGTTGTCACTGTTTCTTCGCCTTGTGAGTATTTAGACTCTATTTACATGCAAGCCTGGTAAATAAAAAGCAACTTACAGGCAAAGGAAACAGCTTCCCATTTACTTTTATACATAGACTATTGGGATAGTTGTCTTCTTGAGGGCAACTTGTCTCTGCCAGGCAAAGTCTGCATTAAAGAAAAGAAAAAAAAAAACCATAAATTATTCTTAAGGAGTGTACCCAAACACGTTTACATATTTCAAGTTCAGGACTATATGCACATAGTTAGCAAGTATAAAATTTTTTTTTTTTAAAGATTTTATTTATTTATTTGACATAGAGATACACAGTGAGAGAGGGAACATAAGCAGGGGGAATGGGAGAGGGAGAAGCAGGCCTCCCGCGGAGCAGGGAGCCCGATGCGGGGCTCGATCCCAGGACCGCGGGAACACGACCTGAGCCGAAGGCAGACGCCTAATGACTGAGCCACCCAGGCGCCCCATCAGCAAGTATAAAATTAACAGAAAATTTCAAACTCACCTCAGCTGAACCTGGACTGTATAATCTCTCCTACCACCTGGCAAAAAATCCCTGTTGGAAAGAGAAATAAACTGGGTTGAGAAAGCACAACGAGAATTCACAGGAACATTCTCACCAGAAAAAAAGCATTATTAGTATTTTTATTCTTATTCTTGAAGATGAATGCTACCCTACCAACAGCACAAGCCTTAATCAAAATGCTACAGTGACACTAACCCTCATTTACTTAACATTTAGTCGTGTCTTTACAGCAATTTTAAGGTATTGTCAATTCACAGGAACTTTCGTGATGCAGTATTTATTTCCACAGGAAACAGATTTGGTTAACATGAAAAGAAGCACCCTCGGTTCTAAAAGAGTTTAATAAATTAATTTGTTTGCTCATAATGGTTCTTAACCTTGGCTGAGCATTTTAATCATGTGATTTTTAAAGAATATAAAGACCCACTCACTAGACTATTGGTCTGGAATACAGACTGAGCATTAGTTTTTATAGCAGGTGGTTCTAATATAGAACCAAAATGAAGAACAAGTGCCTAGAGTCTCAGCATCTCTGTACCACGGCAACTTTATAATTAAGTATCCAATTAAGGGACACAGAACCTTTTAGAATTTCTACATGAGAACCTAATAGAGTCCCGTATAAAATATTTTTGGCACTGAACCTTCCAAAGCCTTGCCACCAAGGAGCCCACAGTGAAGCAGCATTGTGATTGCTTGGGAGCTTGTCAAAAATGCAGAATCTCAGGCCCCACTGCAGACCTACAAAATTAGAATCTGCACTTTAATGAGATCCCCAAGTAACATGAACACACGTTATAGTGTAGAAGTTTTGTCCTTAGCCATTATCATCAATCTTGGACTCTGTCAAAGAGAAGAGTACTAGAAATCAGTCCTTTCTTAAGAGTATATTTTGCCCTCACCTTGCTCTAACTGGGCCAGTCTTCGTTTCACTATGTTCACTGGAAGGCAGTAAAGCACCAGTGACCAGCTTGAGTTCTACAGTCCCAAACAGTAGGACCTTGGGCAAACTATTTAACCTGTCCGTGCCTCTGTTTCTACATCTATTAAAGATGGAAAATTACAGAGTTGTTGTGATGATTAAATGTGTTAATGATACATGTAAAGTGCCTGGACGTATAAAGTGCTCAACAAGTGTGAGCAGCCGGCTGCTATTATTATAAACTCTGCTTTCACTTTCCCTCGCCGGTAACCTCCAACCCTTCTCAAGTGTCTATTCAAAACATCCCCATACCCTAGGCAACACTGACCTCTTGTGAGTAACCCTTATCATTCCCCTCATGTAAATCAAGAAACATTTCAGAGTCTGGGTGCTGGTTCAGCAACAAATAAAGACAAAATATTTGCTCTCAAAGGTCTCATGCTAGTAGGTAACAGATACATACAACTAAAATAAAATGTGACAGTACGTTACAAAAAATAGGTGCTACAGAAAAGATGCAAGTTTAATTTCGTCTTAAAAGCTCAAGGCAATCATCACAGTCCAATCAAACTAGAAAGTAAGGTTTATACAGCAGTGTTTCTGCCTATTTCTACTTAGACACACTTCCATCATTAACAGTAGCTTCACCGGTGCAGATTCTCAGCCAAAGGAAAGGGTGAAGATCAACCAGAGATACCTAACAAACTCTTGTTGGGTTGGGAAACATAATATGAAAAAAGAGAAATGGCAGAAGACATAACTAGAAAGATAGGGAAAATGATATAAAGGGTTTTAAATAGTTTGCCTAAGGATTTATACTTTATGCCAGTAAGGGAAATTAACATAAACTGGGAAATGCAATGTGCTATGTATCTTTACAAATATGAAGTGTAATGAGTAAGCATCTTCTGACATTCAGTTTCTGCCAGTCACTGTTCTAGGAACTTTCACATGTTCATCTCATTCATCAAATATAAAGCAGGCATTTACTATATGTCAGGCACTGTGACAGGCTTTGAGAATATAAAATGGAGTAAGATGTTGTTGTCATCAAGTCTGTAAATTCAAGTAGTCAAATAAATGCAATGAAGCTTTAATAGAAAATAAGTATGTAGTACAGTGAGACAGTGTGAGTCTGGGAAAATCTGGAAACGGCATCACAGAAAAGCTGAGACTAGAACTGGCCCCAAAATATACCTCAGGTTTGCCAAGTAGAATAGGGAGGAAGAGGATATGCAAAGGGACAGAGCTGTGATAGCCCAGCTGCTGGGGAAGAGTAGAGTGACAGGAGATGCAGTGAGACAGAAGACAAGTAGAACAAGATGTTGAAGAGAACTGCCAGGCAATGGAGTGTGGACTTCACGAGCTTCACTCCAGGGTTTTAAGCACAAGAGAGAAAACACTGAAGGGCTTTAGAAAGATTACACGGTTAGCAGGAGGGTCAGGGGACCACTGCAATTGTACCGGCAAAAGATGAGGGCTTAAACATAAACATCCCTGAGTGATATTTAGGCAGAAAAACAGAATTCAATGACTGACTAGATACAGAAGGCAGGATACAGAAGGGGAGCATCTGGGATGGGGCCCAGATTTTGGAATGTGGCAACTGCTACTCACCAGGGTAAGAGGTAAAGCAAGTTAGGACATTCAATGCCCCCAGCTACTGAGTGAGGTGGTGATTATTTTTCCTATGTTACATTGGGTAAATATGATTCAGCGGGCTTTAGTAACTTACTCAGGGGCATAAAGACAAGCCTAAGTGGTTGAGCCAGAATTCACATTCCAGTTGGTATTACTGCAAAGACCATGCTAGCTCCCTCCCTCAAGGGTAGAGTTGCATCATGTTTTAAATCGTGAAAGAGACATAAAAGAAGGATCAGTGGAGTGCAGCAAACTGACAGGGGTTGGTGGATGAAGTGTGGGATAATACAAAGAGGGCTCTCTGTTTGGGCAGATCCCATGCCATTAATGAAACGGGTAGCGGGAGGAAATATACCAAGCACAAATCTCCTTGAAGCCAGTTTATTTTTTCAACTTTGCACCCCTGGTGCCGGGAACATTGCCTGGATCATAATAGGCAGTAAATAAATATATGCTGTGAGACTAAATGAATAAATGAAAGAACAAAAGCAAGTCTGGGAGGAACGCAAGTTCAATTCTGAATGTGCTGTGTTTGATGTACCTATGGGTCATCGAAGTAGGGACAGTGAATATGGACTCTAGAGCGAAGTGGAGATTTTGCAGCCACCAACATAAAAATAACAAAGCACACTCATGAATACTATCACAGAGTAGGGAGAAGAGAATCAGCGAATGATTCCTGGGAACACGCAAGAAAAGTCAGTGTGAGAAGCTGAGACAGCATGATCAGGGAGGCAGTAGTAGCAAATGGAAGGGGAGTGCTAAAACCAAGAAGAGAACTGAACTCACTGATCAATCTTCACAAGATGTAATATAAAAAGAACAAAACCACCCGAACCTGATGTATTTGAGCCTCATTTAGACCTTACTACCATTACAGGAAAGGGGAGAAGCTGGATGCACAGCAGTGGTTCTCAAATTTGTTAAACACTGGAAACACCTGGGGAGCTTTAAAAACTGGGTTCCAACCTCAGAGATTCTAATTGAATTGGTATGAACGAAACATGGGTATTCAGATTCCTAAAAGCTCCTCAGGTGATTCTAATTTGCAGCAAAGTGTGAGAACCACAGGCATAGAAGTTAAATGACACCACAAGAAATACCTCTGGATCCAAATCCAGCATGTGTAATATGCTACAAAGTCAATGAACCGCTTTTTTCAAAGAGAGTGGTAAGAAATATTATAAAAGCGGAAACAGAGCTCTTTAGAGAAGTGATCAATTCCAGAACTGGGGCAGAGAAATTACAAAATGAACCTAGAACATTCTGTGGTGCCAGAAAGTAAAGTAGTGCTCAGAAATAGATGGAGACATACCAAAGGGCACAGGAGCCAACCTGAAAGATCAGCCAATGGCCAAAGGTAGACCAGTTTGGACAACACAAATTACCACAGTACTGCATTATAATCCAGAGTACTCAAGAGCCTATGCAGATACCAAGTAAATGACTGAGTAAGTAAATGGGGGAGAAAGGACAGCTCTTCCTTACGAAAGAGTAACTCTAATGTGAAAAAGAATAAGGACAAGAGAAAATCACACCACTGGAACACAAGAGTGTTTATGACAAAGTAACTGCTGAAGGGAAAGATCCATCAGTGAGTGCTAAATCATTGGGCAAAAATTTGAAGAGAAACAGAATATGTGCCTTATCTCAAAGTATCTCCCCCAAGGTATTTATTACTAACAAAGGAAAAAACAGCAACTTTATAGTGCCAAAATCTAGTAGAGAGTACCTTACCCAAGTGATCAAGGTTAACACTGCCAAAAATAAAATGTATCAATATTATGTAGCCCAACATGATACACTAAGAAGGGCATATAACTTGAGGTATTCTTGCCAAAAATGCATAATCTCATGACAAAATATCAGACAAACCCAAATTGAAAAATATTCTACAAAAGACCTGGCCAGGACTCTTCAAGAAAAGTATCAAAAGTTCTTATGAAAGACAAGAAAAACTAAGAAACTGTCACAGACTGAAAGAGACTAACATGACACTAACAATTAAAGGTAATTTGGGATCCTGAATTGGATCTAGGAATAGAGGTTCATTATCAAAAAAAAAAAAAACTGGTGAAATCTGAATAAAACCTATAGTTTGGTTAACAGTATTACACCAAGGTTAATTTCTTGGTTTTGATAATTACACTATGGTTATGCAAGATGTTAATATTAAGAGAAGCTGGGTAAAGAGTATATCTATTTTCATAACTTTTCTATAAATCTATAATTACTTCAAAGTAAAGTTCTTAAAAAATCTTGGGAGATAAAGAAGTGAAAAGTAATTACACGGGCCATGTTTAAATACTGAAACAACTAAGAAAATTTGAATATGGGCTAGTCATTGTTTTATATTAAGGAAGTATTATTTTACTGTGACTATATTAAGAATTAATTAGAGATCCATCTTGAGGTATTTCCAGCTGAAATTATATGATGCTTGTGATTTGCTTTCAAGTATTTCAGGAAAGGGGCGCCTGGGTGGCTCAGTCGGTTAAGTATCTGTCTGCCTTCAGCTCAGGTCATGATCCTAGGGTCCTGGGATCCAGCCCTATACCCTTGGCTCCCTGCTCAGCAGGGAGTCTGCTTCTTCCTCTGCCCCCCCCCCCCCTCCGCTTATGCTCTCACTCTCTCTCATAAATAAATAAAATCTTTTTAAAAAATATTTCAAGAAAAAGGCAGGGGGGTTTACATACACACTGCCAAAATGTTGATAATTACTGAAGTTTGGTAATGGGTACCAAACTTTCACTTCCACCTATTAGGAAGAAGATTTTGTATTATTTAATTATATGACTGAAAATCTTAGGCTTTGTCTGTATGTGTATGTGATTTGTTTTCTTTGAAAGGAGGATTACAAATAGCCTTTTATTTTGTTAATTTTTATACATAAGATATATAAAATTTATCACATTAACCATTTTTAAGTGTATAGTTCTGTGGCATTAAGTATACTCAGACTTGTACAACCACTACTACGATCCAGCTCCAGAACATGATCAAAATGTTTAGTTGAGATTTAAATTTTAGTCATTCACTTTTGGACTACTTAATATAATTCACATAGTTCAAACTTCAAAAACATACAAAAAGGATATAAAGTAAAAAAGACTACCCCAACTCTGGCCCTGGCCATCCAATTCCCCTGTACAGAGGCAGCTGATCTTATTTGTCCAGACATATTTTAGACACTTGAGCAAATTACACACACACATACCTTTTAGGGCAACTGGTAGTATATTATTCACATTTTGATGCTTTGTTTTTGTTCACTTAAAAATGTACCTTGAAATCTGTATCTTTAAATCTAACATACTCTAAATAATCTCCTTACCTCAAAGACCCATGCAACACTCTTGAAGCTTTCCCAAACCACCAACATTAATAGTAACCTCAGCCAGGGCGCCTGGGTGGCTCAGCTGGTTAAGCGACTGCCTTCGGCTCAGGTCATGATCCTGGAGTCCCGGGATCGAGTCCCGCATCGGGCTCCCTGCTCAGCAGGGGGTCTGCTTCTCCCTCTGCCCCTCCCCCCTCTCATGTGCTCTCTCTCTCATTCTCTCTCTGTCAAATAATAAATAAAATCTTTATAAAAAAAAATAGTAACCTCATCCTCCTATAAATCAGTTATCTGTAATTACTAAAATTGGTTCTCTTCATCTGACCCCTTGCAATGCCAAGATCATTTTATGTATATGAGCTGGTTCACTAACAAGAGTGGACGTGTTATATAATATAGTGCTTTGGACCTAATACATAGTAAACGTTGATCTCAAGCAAGGGATCATCGCTGAATAACAAACAAAACTTAATATTAATAAGGTTTTGGATATAAAATATAACTTTAATATAAATATAATTTTAAAATTTTCAATTTATTCTACTTATTTGTTAGTTGGTTTATTATTATCCCCAAGATTGAAAGTACTTCCAAATTTACAAAAACTCACTGCAATATCTTCTTGCTCCTGGTGAAAATGAACCACATCAGGCTACATTCATTTTACTTCTTTGATAATTTTCTCCTCTGAATTTTCTGTTTTCTGAAAATATTATTCTGGATATTGGATCTTTTGAACTAATCCTTGTATGGTCTTTTTTTTTTTTAATCTTAGTTTTCAACACTTTTCTTCCGCCTGTGGAAAAAGCAGTCTATCTATGCAATACTCTGAGAGATCTAACTTTACAGGGTCAGAACATACAATCATTTGAGATTTTGACAATAGCACTCTCACCCTATACATATATTAGTAAAGGTGATATGATTAATGAAAGAATCTAAAACTCTGCCCCAGACTCTTCCACATAAAGAGAGCATCCTCAAGATGTTAGTGTGCTTCGAAGAGACGAGAAGCCCGTAAGTTTGGATTCACCATCTTGAGAGATTGACCAGGCAGATGAAGATATTAAAGACCAAAAAGTCCAATCTAACCTTAAAGAACTTATGTAATTGTGAATACAGAATTTCTAAAACTTAACTACAGAATCCTTATTTTTGTAAATTATTAACATCTCAGAGAAGATGAGCATTCAAATGAACAGCTGAAAGGAGGCAAAAGACCTCTAATTTGCTCAACTCTTCTACTTTTAACTCTATAATCCCAGAAAAATCATTTAACCTCCTAAAGCCTCCGTTTTCTTACACTAAATCTTTAAGAATGCAATTTTAAAGAGTCACATACATATTATAAACACCAAAGATGACTATATATACATATATATTTTTTAAGGATTTTATTTATTTATTTGACAGAGAGAGAGACAGTGAGATAGGGAACACAAGCAAGGGGAGTGTGAGAGGGGAAGCAGGCTTCCCGATGAGCAGGGAGCCCGATGTGGGGCTCGATCCCAGGACACTGGGATCATGACCTGAGCCGAAGGCAGACGCTTAATGACTGAGCCAACCAGGCGCCCCAACTATATATTTTTTTAAGATTTTATTTATTTATTTGACAGAGAGAGACACAGCAAGAGAGAGAACACAAACAGGGGCAGAGGGAGAGGGAGAAGCAGGCCTCCTGCGGAGCAGGGAGCCCGATGTGGGGCTCGATCCCAGGACCCTGGGATCATGACCCGAGCCAAAGGCAGACGCTTAATGACTGAGCCACCCAGGTGCCCCAAGATGACTATATTTTTAATTGGAAAAGTATACACTACATATTTCCTTTTCTTTCCTCTTACAACTTAGTTCATTTGCTCTTTATAAATGTGTCTATTTTAAGTTTCTCCAATTTTTCTAAATAGCAAAGCTAAGAGTACTTTTCATAATTGTTTTCAGATTTCTACTAATTTTATGGTCTAGGTGACCACAAAGCTCAGAACAGTGCCAGTTTATTAATAATTTTTCTGGGATAAGAACATGATGTCTACTTTCACTCTTAAAGTGCCTCAGTTTGAATGATAAAGTTTATGGACATCCTATCGTTGGGCTGTTGTCACAAATTCTTTTTTATGTTGCTATATCTGGAATAAAATTTTCATTAAAAAAAGTTATTGCCAAAAAGTAATTCAAAAAAATAAGCTGGGATTTTAATCAAAGGTTAAAGCTGTTCTTTAATACAGAGTTGTTTATTAAATATTTAGCTAACTTTAGTCAGTGTATACTATGCTTGCTTAATGATGTCCAACTGTTATGGACTGAACTGTGTCTCCCCAAAATTCAGGTTGAAGACCTGACCCCCCAATCTGACCATATGTGAAGATGGGAATAAGGTCGTAAGGGTGGGGCCCTAATCCAATACAACTAGTGTTCTCATAAGAGGAAGAGACACCAGGGATGCACAGGCACACAGAAGAAAGGTCAAGTGAGGCAAGAAGGCAGCCTCTACAAGCCAAGGAGATCAGGAGAAACCAAATCTGCTGACACCTTAATCTTGGACTTCAAGCCTCCTGAATTTTGAGAAAATAAATTTCTGTTGTTTAAGCCACCCAGTCTGTTGTGCTTTGTAATGGCAGCCCTAGCAGACTAATACACCAACATTCATGAAGAAACATATTCCAAACATTCCTCTTACCTGGATATGCATATCTCTCTAACTTGCTGAGGTGTCAGAGCAAAAATAAAAAACTTCTCTTGAAATCGTTGAATACTGCTTTGAACTGGGGAGGGAAAAAAAAAAGATAACATTCCAATATCCAATATCCAAAAGATAACAAATCCAAGGATGTAACCATGTGCAATAACAATGCATTTCTGATCAAGAGTGTCAAATTCTCAAATTTTTATAGTTAAAATACTCCAAAATAAAGAAGTAGTAAACTGCAGTCATCTTGGAATCATGAAAGCAAAGTCAATCTAAAACAGGCTCAATTTTAAGCATTTAGTCTTTATTCTAAAACACTAATTATAACATAGTCAAAATATAACACAACTGTTCAAAATTACGTTTCATCCTTGACTATAGCATTATCAAATGAAAACCTGAGGAAGTCTAACCCCCGCCCCCCAAACTCTATTCTAGATTTAGGTGATCTTTCATTTGTTTTATTTCTTTGTCGTGTTTTGTTTTCAACCCTTTATATTCAGCTACACAAAACGTTAATATAAAATTTTAAACTTAAGCTTCTAAGTTGATCAAATGAAAATACATAATTATTTACATATAGAAAAATATCTAGTTAAAAAAATTACCTAATGAAGTCATCTTTGACTATCTTATTAAAAACTGAAATGTATTTACTTCACAAAGAACTTTATAACACATTTATTCTGATGTATTATTCAATGATGTTCTAGCACGCCTTAAAACAAAATAAGCAAAAGCTAATACAGAGAACTTCTGCTTCCTAACAAGTACTGCAACAACTCACAAGGCAAAATGGCTCTTGTGTGTGTTACTGGCCACAGTTTTCCTGATACATAAAGATAAATAAACAAGATGCCAGTTAAATATCCAATGTCAGAGGCCTTCCATCCACAAGCCACAACAAATCAAGAAAAATATTAACTCCTTGAGTAAAACACTTTTCTTTAAGCAGTTTATTAGAGCAATTATGTGCCTAGAAATCATGTCATAAAGTGGCTCATATTTTCCCAGAACATTTAAAAAAAGAGGGAAGAAAGGAATGTGGCTTATGACGGCCTAAAAATGAAACAAAATGCTAAGTCACAAACATAAGTATGGGGCAAAACACACAAACACACAGCTACAGTAGTAAGTCCCTCCATTTCTTCAATCCTATTCACTCCTCAACTCTTTATTGTACAGATTTCACTTCCCACTCTCTACCCACAGTTAAGGTCATTTCCCACTCTCTATCCACAGTTAAGGGCACCAATGACCTCTTAACTGTCAAATTCAATAACCTTTGAGATTAGAGGTGAACACACTGCATTTTCAATCAGAGTTAATGGTATAAGCCCTCAGTCTATCCAGCCAGAAACCTCAAAATGTCTAACATAGGTACAAATGGAGTCCCAGAAGGAGAAAACAGGGCATTAAAAAAAAAAAGTTTCGGAAATAATGAAAGAATACTGATTAACTCACGGGGTAAGGGGGAGCCCTTACAGATCAAAGCTCAAAGTAAATACAAAGATACCTAGTCACATCAAAATCAAACTACTGCAAACCAATGATGACTATAAAATCCTGAGAGCAGTCAAGGAAAAAAGACACATTGCATACAAGGGAAAAACAGTATGAATAAAGGCAATGTAAGCCAGAGTCATCTTTAAAGTGGTGAAAGAAAAAAACTCGCTGGAAAATTCAATACCCTTCAAAAACAGGGTTAAATAATGACTTTTAGATAAACAAAGGCCAAGAGAATTTTTGAAAGCAAATAAGCAATACACGTAATGTAAAAGGAAATTGTCAGGATAAAAAGAAATGATACCAAATTCAAAACCAAATTTTCAGGAATGAAAATCACTCTCAACAGTAAATTAGTGGTAAAGGTAAAAGAATATGTTGTTTTTTTCTTATGATTTCTTTAAAAAGATAATTCTTTAAAGCAAAAGTGGGGTACCTGGGTGGCTCAGTCACTTAAGCGTCTGCCTTCGGCTCAGGTCATGATCTCAGGGTTCTGGGATCAAGCCCCATGCTGGGCTCTCTGCTCAGCAGGGAGTCTGCTTCTCCCTGTGCTCTCTCTAGCTCTTTCTCAAGTAAATAAATAAAATCTTTTTAAAAAAATAAATAAAAATAAAGCAAAAGTAATGGCATTGAGAGGCAGGATTTTTAAGATACGTACAGGATTTTTAAGATATGTAGAAGGAAAAGATATGACAATAGGAAAAAGAATAGATAAATGAAATTATCTACCCAAGAGCTGTGATTCTTGCTTCATTAACACAGCTTGATTAACACAGATCTCCCCAGAGACAGATTCATTCCTTGTGCACCAAAAATGTCAGGTTTCTACTACTGCAAAGCTGGGTGCAGGACCTTGGGTCAATTCACACAGCGTAAATACCAGTATTTGAGGCCTTGCCTGGGTGACTGGAGTCAACCCACCCAAAAAAGTACCCATATACCATGAATCTTACATTGAACCTGGAAGGCTTCCTTAGTCAGTATATGCCAACATTTATGTACAATTCACAGAACTTGCAGCCTAATGTTAGCAGTTTATATCTTAACATTTTTGCAGAGGCTTTTATTTTTCTGACATAGTTCTGAACTTATTATTTATTTGATGCTAAATTTTCTGTAATAATACCAAATAACTACCCTGTTCCTATGAAAAAAATGGATGCTTCATCACTGTGTACCATAACTGAATTCCAGGAACTTACAGCAACAAAAAAATAGTGCATATGCTAATAAAATCCAATTTGTATTAACACTGACAATTTTTATATAAGACAAGTTTATTACAGAACAGCAGCCAAAAGCACACCAAACGTGCCATGAGGTAAACCTATTAGCTAGACTGTCACTTTAATACAGATCAGGAGAAAGAATGGCAGGATATAAAGCAGAAAGATTCAGGTTTTGCAGTGTATTTTCTTCCCATTAGTGTTCCAACTTGGGATCAGAAAACCAATTCTACACAGACCCCATGAACACTTTTATGTTAACAGCAGCAAATGACAAAGGAAAAAGACCATGACTCAGGGGCGTGAGTCAGATACGACTTTATTCAAACCCTTTTTTAACAATCCTCCATAAGGTAGATTCTATTTTTCAAAAACAGCTACAACAATATCTCCCATCATGCCCTTCTCATAACCTTGACATTCTTTCAATGAAGCAGTGGGGTCTCTATCACCCTCCCTTTGAACCTGACTGGCCCTTTGTGACTGCTTTAATTGATGGCATAAGTGATGCTATATAAGTTGCAAGGCTAGATCATAAAAGCACAATGCACTTTTCCCTTACTCTCTGGGGACACTCTCTTGAGACCCAGCTCTCATGCTCTAAAGAAGTCCAAACTAGACCAGAGGAAAAAGCCTTATATACATACTCTAGCCAACAGCCAAGCCGAGTCCGAGCAAACAGGTAGCAAAGACACCGCACGAGTGAAGATGCCTTCAGATGATCCCAGCTTCTAGCCATCAAGTCACCCCCGGCCCCTAAGTCTTTTCAGCTAAGACCCCAGACATCCTGGGGTAGAGACATATCCACACACTGTTGGAACTTCCAATTCTTAACAGGGAAAATCCACCAACATAATAAGATGGTTGTTTTACACCACTGTACTTTGGAATGGTATATTATACAGCAATAATAAGTAAAACTATGCCACAATTTCATGAAGTAATTTTAGCATTAATCTTATAAATCCCAGGTTCTAGCATTATGTCTAGCTTCATTTATAATTACTAACTGATGAAGCCTGCTGATATGACATAATACTTATGACTGTTCTAGGTTTGTGGATATTGGTTCTTTCTACCTTTTTAAGCATAAATGGACCAGAATATTCCTGTATCCTCATCTTAGCCCTCCTGGTTATTACCCAAGTGACAGGAAATTCACGTAAGATCTCCAAGTCCTTCTTTACTCCTCAATTAAAATGGGAGTAACATTTTGCTCATCTGCTTTTTTTTTAAGGTTTTATTTATTTACTTGAGACAGAGAGTGCGCATGCACTCAAGAGCAGCAGCGGGGGCAGGGGAGAAGACGTGCAGACTCTGCACTAAGCGTGGAGCCTGATGCAGGGCTCAATCTCAGGACCCTGAAATCATGACCTGAGCTGAAATCAAGAGTCGGACACTTAACCGACTGAGCCACCCAGGCACCCCTCATCTGCCTTTTAAAGGCTGTTTTGTGGGGGTCATGACCTCAGGATCATGAGATCGAGTCCTGCATCAGCCTCCATGCTCAGCGCGGCGTCTACTTAAGATTTGCTCTCAGGGCGCCTGGGTGACTCAGTCAATTAAGTATCTGCCTTCAGCTCTGGTCATGATCCTGGGGTCCTGGGACTGAGCCCTGCGTTGGGCTCCCTGCTCAGTAGGGAGTCTGCTTCTCCTTCTCCCTTGGCCCCTCCCTCCCTGCTAGGGCTCTCTCTCTTTTGCTTGTTCTCTCTCTCAAATAAAATTTTTAAAAAAATTCTCTCTCTCCCTCTCCTCCTCCCCCCAGCTCACAAAAAAAATTTTAAAAATTTAAAAATAAAGGCTGTTTTGTGGATCAAATGCAGTAACATATGTGAAAGCATTCTGAAAACAATACAGCACTATACATGTATTTTCAGTTCCAGAAGTCCTAATCAAAAATGTCTGCTTTTAAAGATAGCAAAATTTCAAGAAAAAAAAAGAAATACAGTCCAACAGATGCATTTTGCCAACTATTCAATAATAATGACTTTTTCTTGGTAAGATATTCAGGTAGAAAGGGGCGCCTGGGTGGCTTAGTCGTTAAGCGTCTGCCTTCGGCTCAGGTCATGATCCCAGGGTCCTGGGATCGAACCCCACATCCGGCTCCCTGCTCCGTGGGAAGCCTGCTTCTCCCTCTCCCACTCCCCTGCTTGTGCTCTCTCTCTGTCAAATAAAGAAATAAAATCTTAAAAAAAAAAAAAAAAAGATATTCAGGTAGAAAATATTTTAACATGCCTAAAAATGTTAACTATTGTTAGTAAAATAGGAAACTTCCTGAGCTCCCCCACCGCAGAAAGTTATATGGACATCTTTTGATAAACTGGTTTAGATTTGGTCAAGAATG